CCCCCCCCCCCCCCCCCACCTCCTCTCCTTCGCTTCCCCCCTTCAGACATTCATTTATTTATGTCTCGTGGTTAGTCCTGACCCGAGTACCAGCAGCATGGCCTTGTGCCCTTTGAGGTGGATGTCTTCTGCTTGTGGTTTGGAAGCTTCCGGTCAGTCCTCAAAGTACTAGGAAACCCTATGTAATGCAGCATGCACAGGCGCACGTGCACTCAAACACACATATGCAACCGCTCATAGGCGTGCACACACCAGGCCAAACACACTCGCACATGCACAGAGAGTAGTCAGGAACGGAAAGTTGTGTTCTTGTTGCTGAAGGAGAGGAAAGGAGCTTGTATTGATTGATCTGTCATTGAGCGAGGGGGAAACGGAAATTATTATTAATAGGATAGGATCTCGTTAGCAGTTCTCTTCCATAAAAATGAAGAAGATGCAAGCGAGAGAAGTGGGAACGGCAGTGGTGAACAGGCAAAGTGTTTGCCATTTGCCTGATGGCGTTTTTCAATTATTGCGATGCAGAGTGCGATGGAAAGGGAAGAGTAGAAGTGGAGTTTGGTCAGGGTAGGTCGTATTGCCTCTCTCTCGCTTCCAGATTTGCCCACTCTTTTTTTGGTTCCTGAGCGTAGCATCATTGCTACTCTGCATTTATTGTTTCTCTACAGTCATTGTTTATGCGCCACGGAGCGGAACGCTGCTTTCTGTCAGCGTATTCGTCCGAATCGTCCCCCTCCCTTGCTCGCCTTCACCTGTCCCACTGCGGGACCGCGATTGGCCGAGAGAGCAGGCTCTAAATACTGAGAACAAGACGTGGGGCTGTAGCAGCAGCATGCTTCAGTGCTTCCCGCTCTCCTTTTGCTCATCCGTCTGTCTCTCCCTTTCCCGTCCCCCTCACCCAGCTCCCTTCTCCACGCGACATGATCTTCGTTTGCTGCTGATTTTGAACAATCTCCACCCTGCATGCCATTGTCGAGCCTCGCCGAAGCATGAGTGTGAGGATTGGCGGAGTTTTGTCTGTCTGGCAGCTAGCATCAGGGGGAAAGCACGTGGAGGCTGGAGGGAGGCTTGCGGCCTCTGCCTCTCAGCCACCTCCTTGTCAGCACTCGTGTATCTCTTCTTCTTCGTGGCCACACAATGTGGCGTGTAGGAGCTTACATGCGCCACGTAGGCTGTGCACGCTGCCGCATGGCACACAGAAGAAAAGGGGGGGAAAGCACGTGGAGGCTGGAGGGAGGCATACGGCCTCTGCCTCTCAGCCTCCTCCTTGGCAGCACTCGCGTATCTCTTCTTCCTAGTGGCCACACGATGTGGCGTGAAGGAGCTTACATGCGCCGTGTAGGCTGTGCACGCTGCCGCATGGCACACAGAAGAAGAGCGGATCCTGTAACATACGTCGAGCTTTGTGATGCTGGCCTTTCTTTTTATACTGTTCTGTTATCAGCCCAGATTATTATTGGTCCTCTCTGTCGTGATCGGCACCTTCTCTCACAAGTTCATAAGTGTGATCATCATTGTTCATGTTCATTATTATTGCTGTCATCGTTTTCTTGCCGTCACATCGAGCACATATTGAGAGCATGAGTATCATTCTGTCAGTCAATCATCCTTCTGCCAACGTGTATCTGGAAGTTCCGTTGCTTCATCGTCTCCACTTCCTCCTCCCTCTTCTTCTTACCCTTTTTCTGTTACCTCAGCTCTCCTGCCTAACTCCATTGCTTTGGTCAGTTGTGAGTAAGGTGCCGCCGTTTGTATCCGCCCTTGGCGGGGCGGTCTGGTCGCAGCGGCTTGCCAGCTTTTCTCCATCTCCATGCGCTTCAGGTGTTTTTTTATCGGAGTCCCTGGGGGCCGGTGCCGGTTGGATGCTGATCCACACTTGAGACCCACCTTGTGGATTCCATTACTGACACACACTGCGCCCTTCCGTTGCCTGCGGCAGGAGGCGCGGCATGCAGCCCTTCTGCCCTTGGCGGGGCGGTCTGGTCGCAACGGCTTGCCAGCTTTTCTCCATCTCCCATCTCCATGCGCTTCAGGTGTTTTTTTATCGGAGTCCCTGGGGGCCGGTGCCGGTTGGATGCTGATCCACACTTGAGACCCACCTTGTGGATTCCATTACTGACACACGCTGTGCCCTTCCATGGCCTGCTGCAGGAGGCGCGACATGCAGCCCTTCATCATGCTGCCACCTGTAGGCGGTGAGACAGGCAGCATCAATAACTACCAAAGCTGTTCAGGTAATTACTAAATTACCCTTTCTCGTTAATTGTAGGTCCTCCTGCCTCTTTTCGTTCTTCTGCACCCTGTCGTCCCTCCGCCCCTCTTCCCCTCCTCTCTGATCCCCATTCCTCCTTCCCCAGCTGTGACCTCTGTGCTCTGACTCCTGTTGCGGAAATCAAATTCTTTTCATGACCGCATAGAGAATGGAGGGAGCATGTAGAGTGTCTTGTCGTCTCTTTTTCACTCTCATTTTGCTATGTTCCGTTGCTCTTTTTTTTTCATTTTAGTATTTTGATGTGCCCGTTGTTGTCTCACGCCAGTAAAGGGGGCGGGGAAGGGCATTGGCCTAGCTGTCCCTCTCTATCGGCAGTCGACTGTATATCCGGTTTGTCGAGCGCGACGTTACGTTGCTCCCCCTTGGATCGGTTCTCCTTGCTCCACTCCTGCCTTTCTTTGGTTGCTCTTTTCTTCAGTGGACAGCAGGCAGGGCACAGGGAGTGCTGGCCTTTTGACCAGATATCGGATGCCAAGAAGTCGTGTATGCTTTGTAACTCCCCCCCCCTTCCCCCCCCCCCCCCCCCCTCCCCGCCGCCGCTGCATTCTTACGATCCCTCGGTCTCGGTCATATATGGTGAGTTGAACTCGCCTGCGTTTATGAATTGGATTATGTGTTCCCGACAACTTCTTGCTTGTCCCTCGCTCTCGCTCTCTGACGGTGGATTTCAAAAGTGTTGCCGGATTTTGTTTCGGGTTGAAGCTTGTTCCGCCTTCCAAAGTGAACGCTAGTGCTGCTTACTCTGATTTTCCTCTCCGCTTTTTTTTCATCTCTTTTGTTCGGCTATCCTTTTCGCAGTGGAACAGGATCACGCGCTTCTTTTCTGTCCTTGCCTGCGGCATGATGATGGCGCTTCTTCCTTGCCGACTTTCCTCAGTTCCCTTTGTTGATGTTTTAACTTTTAAAAATTGTTTTTTTGAACTTTTTCCCTTTGCGATTCTTTTTTTCCTTTGCGGTTCTCTTTTTTCTTTTGCGATTCTCTTCTTTACTAATGTGTAGGGGAAATGGGTAGATACTAGATAGTAGATACCCTCTTTTGTACTTTCTTTCTTTCCGTAACCGGATAAATCAACCAGTTTTGACCACGGGGCCAGTGTGGTTAGGCAGATTGCTGCATAGCCCACAGGCCCTTCTCTACTGCCCCCCCACCTCTCCCATCGTGTCCCCATTTCCACCCGTACGCTAATCCCCGCACAAATGTGTATCATCAGTTAAATGATCCGTCGAGTGTGATGAAGATAGCTCACGGAGTCTGCTCCGATCGGAACTCGGGGCTTCGCTCCACTGTGCCAGAGTTGCATGCCACCACACGTCACGTCATGACAGGTTGTGAAAGTAGACAATCTTCGGGCATGAGCTGATTGTATTGATTGTTTTTTTTGGTTAGTTTTTTTCGAGCGCAGTAGAACAATCCCCTCCCTCCTTCAGAGCAACTAGAGTCCATATACTTTTCTATCTATCAATCTCCATGTGTTCTATACGTTTCACATGACACATGAAGAACAAAGCGAGCGTACTCAGTCCTTCCCGCTCTGAAACTGAGAGTTCTACCTCCGCCGCTCTGTTCTACGTATTTTTCCATGCAATGTGGACCGGAATGATTTTTCACTCTTACACCGGTTCCAGTGAAAAGCTCAACTCTACGGGCAAATAAGAGATCCCATTGGCAAGCAATTTCATTTGTCTGAGGTGTGATCGTGGTGAGCCGAAACGAGAGCATGATGGAAGTCCTTTGACCCTGCGGCTAGCTGTGTAACTTGAGGGAAAGCATACACTGTGAACGCCGGCAGGCACGGTCAGGAGTGAGGGAACGGAGTCGTGAGAGGTAGGTGGTAATCTCACCATGTCGTCATCAGCAGCTGTTGACCTGTGCACTGACTGCATCGCGGCGGGCAAGGTCGACCGATCACCTATCGTTTGGAGGTCACTGGCCTGATTCGAGGAGGGCTTCTCGCTTGGCTGAGCTTTCCTCAGCTGGGTCGAGTTGTGTTTCGTATTATGCACTTCCATCTTCCTGCCTCCCTTTGACGACGACAGGCCACGGGTGAACACCTTATCTCCTCCATCCATTGTTCCGGATGCCGGCCAGCTTGGGCTGCGTTCTTTGCGACGGAAAAACAATTGCGTATGATGGCACAGGATGTGATCTAACCGGACACGGCATGATGTGACACAGTCTTCCGTACGAGCGATGCCTCTGTGCTCTCATCCAGGCCACACACAGTCAAGGTGGTGCAATGCTGTCACTGCCGTCAGTTGCCTGCAACTGCAACTGTGTGATGACGTCAAGGAGCGCTTTGAACCAGCGACGAGGGGCCGATGAAGCACTGGTTTGACCAAAAGACCATTTTCAGTCTGCTGGGTTCCACGTTCGGTTTTGCAGTTTGTGCCTGTTGATGCCCGTACCGGTGGTAGTGGTGGTGAAGACCACTCACTGCTCTGCCTGCCTCCGAAGTGGACATGGACCCCGAGTTAAGCAGCCTGTTCCAAAAACCGCTCGTAGTCCAGTACGCCGTCCTTTTTCTTGTCGTTGATGGTCATACGCACGGTCCCCCAATCAGCAAGAGCATGGGAGACGGATGGCATGTTCCCAGATGGGAAAGAAGATCAGATCTATGACATGACCATTGTTGGACGATTGTGACGTTGATTGACAAGATGGGGGAAGTCCTTGCCAGATATCTCATTGGCGGCTGTTCAGAGCCACCGGGCGACTGAACACTACCTGACTTGACTGTGGAGTGAGTACAGTCATCGACTTTTTTATGCAACATGGTTCGGTCGATTATTGTTCGCTGGATTGACTATGGATTGGTGAGATGGGGAGGGACGGGCAGCTGACACCAACCACCACCGAAGATGAACCGACCCCAGGAAGTGTCAAGCGTGAACCTACTTGCTTTGATTTCTCACGGTCTTCTGCGGATGACCGTCTTCTGAGGTGTTCGAGGCCTCCACACCTCTTTACTTCCCAGCTGGAAGCACCTGGCTAGGCCGGGACTTGTTTGGTCGGAGTTCCGGTGGTGGTGGCGGTGTTGGTGGTGGTGGCAGTGATGATGTTTGACTGAACGCTCGCTCAAGCATGCGACCCATACGTTCCTTGCAGTTTCTTTCTGGCTCGAGAGAGCAACACTCCAGTTTGGCAGGCATCTGAATGCCTTTTGGGGTCGTTTGGTTCGTTCGATGCATCTGGTATCTATTGCTGATGTCCAATGGAGTGTGGGTGGAAGTCAGTATCCCATTCAGCGCTCGCTCAAGCATGCGACCCATACGTTCCTTGCAGTTTCTTTCTGGCTCGAGAGAGCAACACTCCAGTTTGGCAGGCATCTGAATGCCTTTTGGGGTCGTTTGGTTCGTTCGATGCATCTGGTATCTATTGCTGATGTCCAATGGAGTGTGGGTGGAAGTCAGTATCCCATTCAGCGAACCTGGACTGAGGAGGCAGTGGATTGGATAACACAGTGGAGAGGACGCGCAGTCTGGAGATGAACATGAAATGGTGTGGAGCAGCATGGAATGAATGATCATCGATTGTGGCTGATGGTGGTGTTTGGAATGCTACGATGAAAATTTGGGATGCCACCACAAACCAGACAAGGCCACACTCCCTCACACCGGGACTCGCTTGACCGGATCGGGCTGTAGTTGCTGTTAGCTTTCTGTCCAGAAAATCGAGCGTGAGCACTGAGCTCGGTCAAAACAAGTTCTCGGTCAATCGAGTGTGAGCACTGAATTCGGTCAAACAAGTTCGGTCAATCGAGTGTCAGCACTGAAAGGTGAATCGAGTGTGAGCTCTGAATACGGTCAAACGAATTCGGTCAAACAAGTTTTGTGAATCGAGTGTGAGCACTGAATTCGGTCAAACAAGTTTGGTGAATTGAGTGTGAGCACTGAATTCGGTCAAATGAATTCGGTCAAACAAGTTTGGTGAATTCAGTCAAATGAATTCGGTCAATCGAGTGTGAGCACTGAATTCGGTCAAACGAGTTCGGTCAATCGAGTGCGAGCACTGAATTCGGTCAAACAAGTTGTGATCTGAGAGGACGGCAAGAGAGCCTTTGAGATGACGGCGGTGGGTTGTGGCCAAATGCCAGCAAGGAGTCGGTTGTCGAATCAAGCATACCTTATCTGGGAGGACAAGGAGCGGACGTGAGAGAAAAAAGAGGAGAGAAGAAAAAGCGAAGAAGGCAGCCAGGTGCAGGCCCTTTCTCGAAGATGAGTAGATAGAAGATAGATCGTTCTGCTTCGGCGAGGTCCTGTTCGCTTTTGGCCATCCCTTCAGTCATCATAAATTGAGAATTGAGGTGAGTGGGTGGGAGCTTATCCCCTGCAGGTTTGCAGGTCACCTTGGAACAGCGGGGGGCGGGGGGCGGGGGGAGGGGGGAGGGGGGTGCTTTTTTTGAGTTTTTTGAATTTTTTTTGCTTGGTCGCCCAGGCATTTTTTTTTTTCCGCTTGGTCGCCGATGACTATGTGCTTCGGTGGGGAGATTTACCCAAACAAATAGCTCACAAATAGCCGACAAATAGCGAAGGGGGCTATAGACTCACTCGCTCTTTGAATGCAGCGAACACGACTATGTGGATTCAGTAGTCTCATCTGCGGGGACCTTTGCAGCGCAAAACCTCTCTCATCGCCGCCGCTTCAGTGTGCTTCAGACTTCGCCTGAACTGAATGATTTTGGAAAAGAGCATATGCGCTGACATTGCATGTGCTGCAAGCGATTCGCAAGCAGCACTCAAGCCAAATGAATAGCTGGATAGCCGAATAGCCGAAGAGCTTGGAGCTGTGTGTTTCCCCAAAGTCTGAAAGTGACAGCCAGCGACTTGCAGGGTGCAAGTCACAGGTCTCCATCACGCCATATTTCAACGCAAAGCGTGTGTTGTTCCTAGGCTTAGCTGGCACACATCGGAGTGGATCAGGGACGTACAGATCGCTGGTCGTCTCCGCTGGCAAGTTCCTAGGCTTAGCTGGCACACATCGGAGTGGATCAGGGACGTACAGATCGCTGGTCGTCTCCGCTGGCAAGTTCTGCATCCAAGGACTGATGGAAGTTTTTGGTTAAGAAGAGGTGGGAGACAGAGAGAGTCTCTCAGGAGGGAGGGAGGGAGGGAGGGAGGAAGGGAGTGGAGTCGTGAACTCGATAGGAGATGGGAGGGGACGACTGGGGGGGCATAAGCGCAATTTCTCTTGCAGGAAGAAGGCGGAAGGATTCCAATGGGAGAAAACACAGGTGTGCAATCTCAGCTCAAGCCTGAACAAGAGAAGAAGTGGAATTTCATCACTCCCATGTTTAATTGATCGCTCCAGTATACTTTGTGGTGCTGAATTCACAAAAGAGGGAATAGGTACAGCAGGAAGTGGGACGAGGTAGTAGTTCTCTCTGTTCGCTGCGTGCTGCACGACGGATGGATCCATGTGCGTGCTTTCTTTTTTCCTCTTATATATATTGTCTACAGAGTCAGTACAGACTCTACACACATGTATTTGTATATGTATACACACATCCCTTATATATACAGAGTTGAAGCTTTTGAAACACCTAAAATAAACTGCGCACTTGTCCAGTTTCTGTAAAAAGTCATTGTGGCCTTTCATTCCTAAGATCACAGGGAGGGAGGGTGATGGTGCAGTTGGCTTTGCTGGTGGTTCAAGCTCTTGCCTCCAGTTTCGGATGCATCCATGTGCGGCCCACCTTTTCTTGTACTTCACCTCTCTCTCTCTCTCTCTCTCTCTCTCTCTCTCTCTCTCTCTCTCTCTCTCTCTCTCTCTCTCTCTCTCTCTCTCTCTNCTCTCTCTCTCTCTCTCTCTCTCTCTCTCTCTCTCTCTCTCTCTCTCTCTCTCTCTCTCTCTCTCTCTGTCTCTTGCTCTCTTTTGCTCCCCCCTCCCCCGCCCTCTAGCATCTATCTCTACTATTATCTATATAAAATATCCGTCTATTTATCCTTGCCAGAACGTCTGTACACTTCTCCCTGATGGGATCCTCTCCTTCCCTCTGATTGTCTGCCCTGTGTGTGGGCAAAGTTCGCGTGCAGGTTTGCTGCACAGTTTGCTGAGATGTCAGAGGTGGACGGGTGGAAGCGGAGGTCCCTGCCAGTTTGCCCTTCCTGTGCGCTGGAACTTGTGGTGAGGGATTGGCTTGCGTTTTTCTAGAAGGGCGCCGGATTGGTTTTGCGCAGGTAAGCAAGCCTCTTGGTTCGCACAATGGTGCCGGTGTTTGTACTGCGGCGCAAGCAAGCAAGCAAGCAGGCAAGCAAGCAAGCAAGCCACTAGGTTTTCGTGACAGATAGCAAGGACAGAGGTAGGTAGGCTGGTACAGTGCTGCGAGAATTTTCATTGGAGCAAATGGGAGAAGAGAGATGTGTTGTCATGCCAGGCACAGCTGGCAGTAGGAATAGAATGGTGCTTGTGTGGTGCGCCTTTGTTCCTGGCATTGTAATGTATTGACTCACTGTTTTGTTATTATCTTTTCGTTGTTCTTGTTCTTGTTCTTGTTCTTGTTCTTCTTCTTCTTCTTGTTGCTGCTGGTGCTGGTGCGGTTGTTATTATTATATATGTTAATTGAGCTTCAGTCGTGATTCTAAAGCTGCCTATTTCTTTTTCTTTTTCTTTCTTAAATTTCTTTTCTATTAGTGGATGATGTTCTGAGTGGGAAAAAAGGTGAGTGCCTTGCAAAACTCTTTTCTCTGCGCGGTGGGTGGATGTGTTGGACCGTATTTCCAACCAGAGCTGGATGAATCTGACTATAGTCAGTTCTGAGCTTCGTAGAAAGTCCTAGTGTGAGTAGTCTCTGAGCAAGGTATACTCACATCAGGATTAGTCACGATGTACTTGCAGGCAATTTGCATCCTAGACAATTAAACCACCAGTACTTGGGCCAAACATCGGCCGCGGGTGTTCCCCGTTAACACGCTGCGGCCTTGGGGGGTCGCCCAAGTGGAAAACAGGTCGGTGCTACGAGGGCGGGCGCCCCCGTTTTTGGGATGACACCATGACCCCTGCGGAAGAAAAGAAAGAAAAGAAAGAGACACACATAAAAGAAAGAAAAAAATACGAAGAGAAAAAACAGAGCTGTGCTTGTTGGCGTGAGAGAGAGAGAGAGAGAGAGAGAGAGAGAGAGAGAGCCAGCGTCGTGCGGCGTGCTGCGAGGAGGGTGGCAACAAAAACGCCACGTCTCTCTCTCTCTCTCTCTCTCTCGTTCTCTCTCTCTCTCTCATTCTCTCTCTCTCTCTCTCTCTCTCTCTCTCTCTCTCTCTCTCTCTCTCTCTCTCTCTCTCTCTCTCTCTCTCNATTTCTCTCTCTCTCTCTCTCTCTCTCTCTCTCTCTCTCTCTCTCTCTCTCTCTCTCTCACACACACACACACACACACACACACACACACACACACACGCACACACACTCACACACACACACACACACGGTTATTTTTTTGTGGCAGCGAGCACGTGCTTCAAATCCAAATTTCTGGTGAGAGGGCATGATGGAAAGATGTATGCCCGTTCATGAGGGCATATCGCACAAGGACCGGTGAAGTGAGACTGGTCGTCCAGTAAGGGCACTGTGGAAAGTTGCGCCCCTTGTTGACAGGGGCATGCAGGAAAGTTCAGAGGCCCCGAGGGCACGGCAGTGGGCTGTCGGAGGGGCGCGGCGTGAAATATTGGAAATTACAGGGGCGGCAGGCAAATTTTCCTTTTCTTTTTTTGATATCTCTTCTTTTCTTTCTCTCTCTCTTTTTTCTGTTTTCTTTTATGTGTAGGCCTGGGAAGTGAGCGGCCGGTGGTTCCAGTCTCGTAATGGCTCGGCATACTGGTCGGCTGAGGCTCAGACTTCATAGGTGGGCCAATTACTGGTGGCTAAAAAAAGTCTGAGTTTCTTCCAAATAAGAAAAGAAAACGAAGTCTTTATGCGCACTCTATAGATGGTGTGAAGTTTGCTTGGGATGGCCTTATGGTTTTCTTATAAATTGAGGTGAAAAATGGGGGGTCGGTTAACCTTTTCTCTTTATGCGAGCTTTGAACAGGAATATATGGCAAGATAATTCAACGAAACTTTTCGAGTTCTTCTGTTCCGAAACAGAGTCGGTAATATATTTTACTATAGTTTATTAATTTGGATAATTCAGTATTAATTCCCATATTTACTATTTATTTGAATGGGTCCCACCCACATGTGTGTAAACATTCCAAACAACTTCTAAATAATGAGATAAAAGTTTCACAGAATCTTCGTCAAAACCATCAGTACATAAGACTCCCTTTCGCCCTAGTGAAATAATTGACCCATCATCTAACCACCAGATAGCTAATGACAATGGTGTAAGATGATTCAACCATCGACGTCGAATATCTAATTTATTTTTGTCATGTGTTATTTTATGAATTTATGTTAGTTGAGGGAGAGCACGACTTTGAAATAACAATTTTGGATTTTGACTATAACCACTTTTTTCAGAAGGTACCGAAGGTTATATGCAGCAAATCCAGACAATATGAACGGTCAATCACTAGCCAAGAGGATTGTATTTCATGCCCGAATGTGGAAGGTTTTCTGGAGAGGTGCATGAAATTGTGATTGGTCTGCATTCTGCATCTGTACATAAAGCGCATTCGGATTCTTCAGGCACTTAAATCCAATCCTCCTTGCTAATGGGCCCGCGCCCCAGGTCAGTGCTCATTATTAGCCTTATCAAACGTAGAGGAGGTGGGGTGTTGGCGGACTACCATCTTCACCAGGATTAGAACACCTGGTCATTTTCACTGTATCTAGACTACAATTTGCCCCAAATACAGCTGTAATGGCCGGCCGTTGAAGATCCATAAATTGGTAATGACTGCGCCGTCTTTTTTTTTTTTTTTTTTTTTTCTGTCCAATCACGGAGCATTTTGTTTGCAGCCCGTCAGGGGTGCGTTTTCCCCCCCTGAGAACATTTTTCGTCGTCGTTCATTATATGGTCGTTGGAAGGCTGGAAAAACAAGGCATGGCAGTTTAGGGGGTGGTGGCATCTTATCTGAAACTGCAGGACCGGTAGCTGCCCGTGGGACCGCACGGGTTTTGGTCCAGGACCACGTAGGTCCGGTAGCTGAGAGAGAGAGAGAGAGAGAGAGAGAGGGACGCTGAATGGCAAAATTGAAATCTGGGTCAAATTGCGGCCGCACTCTATTTCGCAGTTGGAATGATTTTTTTAAATTTATGTAGCGTTTTCCCTGGAGAGATCACAACAAAATCTACAAGTACTCAAATTTTCAGGTTTTTTCACGCATTCTTTTGAGCGTGAAAACTCACTGAATTTGGAGTACTTTTTTAGTTGGCCCAAGCATGGCTGAGTGGCAAAAATGGAAAATGTGCTGAATCGGCGCGATGATTATTTCGCAGTCTAAATGATTTTTTGTAAATGTTCTATTATTATTTCTGGAAAGAACACGACCTCATCTATGGATTCTCAAAATTTCAGATTTTTGTGCATGTTCGTCTGAGCACAGAAAATCGCCAAAGTTGCCTCTTGCAAAACGCCTGTTTCGTTGTGCCTGACCTCCCTGTTTTGAGAAGATGGGGCTCAACGCCTGGGCCTGAGGGCCCTTTTGCAGTTCACATGCCCTCACTTTTTTTGGGGTCCGCTTCTACCCGAGGACCGGTCCAATGCCCCCCACTTCTTTTTGGGGTCCACTTCTACCCGAGGACCGGTCCTCCGGTTCTACCAGAGCTAGCTGTAGGTAGTCCGCAATTTTGGCAAGGACCGGTCCCCCAATTTTTTTTGCCCGATAAGAACCCACTTTGCGTCCTGGTCGCCCGCGGCCAAAAATGCGTCACCTTGACACAGACGCGGAAGCCCACTATACCGCAGCCTAAGGGCTGCGAATTGAAATGGTGTGGGTCCTACACGCTGTATTCGAATACAACCTGTACCCTTTCTATTTGGATTTCGAAAAGAAAAAACTCTTGTATTCCGATAAAATTACTTCTTCTTTTTGTTGGAGGTCAGCGCCTGCCCTTG